AAGAACAGCATCCTTTCCACTTGATGTTGGAATAGACAGTCCTTTCTTGTATTGCAGAATGTAGACCATCAAGGGTCATGGAAGAGCCAAAGAATTCAGAGCTGAAGGAGACCATGAAGGTTATATTGCCCACAGCTTAAGCATTTGGCTTTGCCTAGATGCAAAGTCAAGCACTCCCACTCTCCAGGTGTTCAATTTTGGCCAACTTGTTTAACGGCTTTTATGCCTCAGGCTCCTCATCTGTAAAAACAGAACCTACTTTGTGGAACTGGTATGAGGATTACAAAAATGCTTAGATTGGTGTCAGTACAAGACAAACAGTATTACTGAGTTAATAACATTAACTATTGTTATTTAGTCCAGCATTTCCCAAAATGTGTTTCTCAGAATATTAGTGCTATGAACCATCCCCCAAATTCCCCCAGAATAGGACCGTTGGGAATACAACTTTGGGAAATAATATGTCCTTCTTGGAGAAAATCCCAAATACATTTGCATATTAAGTTTCTGGAGAAGACTTGCTATATCTATTGCTTGAACCTAATCAGCTTTGCTGTGGTATACTGGCTTTTGAAGTGCCCAGTCAGCCCATTCCCACTTGCCATGAATTAATTTTCTATTCTCATGGAAGATGGGGTCCTATAGTTGCACTTGTTTCATGGGACTTCATTATACTTGGTTTTGACTGATTGGACCAAAGTTGAACACCTGAACCAAAGAAAGCCAATTAATAAACTGAGGCAAAGAGCATCGTATTCTCTCTGGAGACTGGAGAGATGGATTTGGGTGAGCTGGAATGTGGCAGCTCCACGGGGAATATGTACAAGGAGCTCAGGCAGCCGTCCTTGGACCATGTGCCCAGATAATCAGAGAATGGCAGTATTCTGAGACTTCAGAGAGAAAAGTTAAAGCAGAAACTCAGAAGTCAGGAAAGAGACCAGGTGGTAAAAGAAAGGGAGAGGGCAGAGGGGGAAGGGAGAGGGAGATAAAGTAAGGTTAACTAAGCTTAAAATCGAGGATCTCTAAGCTTAACAGGCTTCTTTTAAAGCTTGGTTCTAGCAGTGTGTTCACATGGTCATTTGGTTTTATAAAATTTATAAAAGTAAGTATTTTAACCACAGTCAGTTGAGTTTGTTGTCTCATTCTACTTTGGTTTTTGCCTCTATTGCCCCTCTTTTGCTATTAGGGGGTGTTGGAGCAGACATGGATATTTTGGGGAACCAACTAAGGACAATTTGAGTTGGGGATACATTTTGTTAGGGTTGAGTAGGATATATTTTTGTAGACCATAGCTACCTACAGGTAATTATTTTTAGCCTTTCTGATGTAGGTACAACTTCCAGGAATAGTCCCAATGCCCGCTGTGCCAATGCTGTGCTGTAATGAAAAGATGTGGGGGCAGAAATCTTATCACAATATGCCCTACAGTGCCCAACACTGGAGGGAAATGTAAGGAGTTCAGGAGAAATGAGTTTGAAATGTATAAAGCCAGCAGCTGGTCTGTGGAGAATTCTTTAACCTTTCAGATATGCAAAAATGTAAGGAAAGATTTAGTATTTACTGAGTTCTCATTTGAAAGAATGTGTACACCCCTGTGTTCATTGCAGCATTATTTACAATAGCTGAGATTTAGAAGCAGCCCAACTGTCCATCAGTGGATGAGTGGGTTAAAAAGGTGTGGTACATTTACAGAATGGAATACTACTTGGCCAGAAAGAAGGAAATGTTACCCTTTGTGACAGCACAGATGGAACTGGAGAGCATTATGCTAAGTGAAATAAGCCAGTCAGAGAAAATAAGTACCATATGACTTCACTCATGTGTGGAATCTAATGAACAAACTAAACTAACAGAATAGAAAGACTTGAAGAGAACAGACAGCTTTCAGGGTGTGTTGCAGGGCTGGGTGAAAAAGGTGAAGGGATTAAGGAAAAAACCAAAAAAACAAACTCATAGCCACAGACAACAGTATGATGATTACCAGAGGGAAAGGGGGGAGTAAAAGGGATAAGGGGGATAAATGGTGATGGAAGGAGACTTGACTTGGGGTGGTGAACACACAGTACAATACACAGATGATGTACTATAGAATTGAACACCTGAAACCTACATAATTTTATTAACTAATGTCATCCCAATAAATTCAATGAAAAAGTGAAAAAATAAAAGAGATAACGGAAAACAGTTTTCTGAAGTTGTTACACCAACTCAACCTCCCCCAACAGTGGGTAAGTGATGGGGTGGATCTGTAGCCTCTGACGCCTGATATTGTCAGACCCACTGATGTTTATCAATCAAAGGTCATAAAATGATATTCTATTATCATTTACTTTCCTTATCTCTGTTAATGTTAAATATCTCGCTGTATTTTTATTAGCCATATATATTTTTCTTGGGACCTGCCCTGCCTGGTTTCAGAAGCTGTAACCTTCTGCGCACCCCCCCCCCTTGGCTAAGGCTGAGTGAACGAACTTCGGACCATAAGCCACTGAGGAGACAAAGCTTATCTCCCTGGCAGAGGTGCCGCTTCTGCTCCTTTTACTTCACCCTGCCTAGCCCCCAATGCTTGATCAGTTAACCAATGACGGGTAAGATTTCTCAAGGGAGGGATGATCTAAGTCAGGCATGATCACAGAGAGGCCCCAGGGAAGGACTTGGGGGGCTATAGCAAAAGGGGGTGATGGACCCTCGCCCCTGGGCTTTGACAAAGCCTGAGTCCTCATTTGTCTGAGAGAAGTCTCCTAATCTTTTCGCTGCCTTACTTCCCCTGCCTGACTTAAGCCTGAAACAATGACAGGGGGCGGTGCAACCCTGTGCTGGAAAGGGCAGGTTCCCCGGGTGATCAGACCTAAGAAAGAATACATAAAATCCTGTGAAACCTGTTTTGTTTAGAATGCTCTCAATTAAATGATAAGGGTCTGAGGAGGAAATGAGTTTGTTTCCCAAAGTTTTGTAGCCCTTTAGCTAACAGATCTGACTCAGAATAAGCACTCGTAGTTCTTTGTATGCTGTTCATTGTTTGATCCTTACTGCCTGACAATGATTAATAAGCTTTACCTGTATTCCTGTGTAGATTGAAAGCCAATAAAAACCTATCAAGGCAAGCGTTGGGGCATTCTCCTCTTGAGAGAGTAGCCATGCTATCCCTTTTCCTCCACAAGACTCGGTAGTTTGTGTGAATTTGTCTCATATCTCATCCATGATGCCACAGACAGTGCAGGCCGGTGCCTGCATCATATTTTCTCTCCTTTGAAATATCTGTTCATACATTTTGACTATTTTCTATTGGGATATTTGGATTAAGCCAGTAAAACTGAACACAGCAAAAGGAAAGGGCATACATGAGCTATGCTGTATAAAATGTAACATTGTTCAGAAACCAAAGGGAGTGAATCAAAGTAACATTCAACACTACAGATATCAGAGTTAATAGAACACAAGAGATTCTGATGGCATTATTTCCACAGAAATAAAATAAAATCCTGAAATTTTTATTTTGATGGAAACACAAAATGCCCTGACTAAGGCAATCTTGAGAAAGATTTATGTTATAAACCTAAAACATTTACAAATATCTGCCCAACCCTGGGGCGTAGGCACTCAATGTCTATGGTATATGCTTTTCTGAATTACATTTGTTGTTAACATTTTTATACAGTGTGGAAGGTAATGAAGAAATAAATGTTTATCTCACATTTTCTTTCTTTCCTTCTTTCTTTCTGGGAGGGAGGGAGGGAGGAAGAGAGAGAGAGAAAAATGATATGTGAGAGAAACATCAATTGGTTGCCTCTCATACATCCCCAACTGGGGATCTGGCCCACAACCCAGGCATGTATGTGCTCTGACTGGGAATCAAACCAGTGACCTTTTGGTTTATAGGCCAGTGCTCAAACCACTGAGCCACACCAGCCATGGCTATCTCACATTTTCTGTGTAAGAATTACTATAGTAGAAGTCAAAGAAATAAAACATGGTTCCTGGCTCCATGTCCCCCACAAAGTTTAGATGCTAATTAGGGATGTAAGGCACTTGAAAGCATCAACAGCATCATAATAGCAAGTGAAAATAGTCAGAGGATTGGTTTGTAGGACTGCGTCTTTTCATCTTATATCCCCTGCTGCTCCCAAGAGTAAATGAATGAATGAACACTTAGAAGAAATCAGTTGATTTGGTTGGACCCATATTGTTTTCTTAGTTTTTCTAAATGTCAGAAGACCTCCATTTGTTCTTTTTGTGAAGTTTACTGAGATCATTCACCTGGAGGGAAGTGTCCCCAGTGGACAAAGGAAGCTGGTAACAATCCTGGAGACTGGGGGGGGTGTCACATTTTTAGTAAAGAACTATAGAAATGATCCGTGAAAGTATAATCTTGGGATCACATTTTTAAAAAGAGCTTTAGGTCTCTGGATTATGACAATGGAACCCTTGGTCTTGGACACATTTATTAATGTGACAGGCAATACATGATTTTTCAGTGTTACTTAAAAAATACCTAATGACATTGAACATCTTTTCATATGTTTATTGGCCATTGGTGAAATTGCTTATGTCCTTTTGATTTTTTTTTTTTGGTCTATTGATGTGTAAGCATACTTTGCTGAGGTGGGTTTTAGGCAAATTGAGTTTGAGATAATGTATGTGTAAACATGCCCAGTAAGTCATTGAAAATGCAAGACGAGGTCTCCAAGACAAGAATACAAATGAGCAAAAGCAGCTTACTGATTCATAGGTCAAGGAGGAAAAGGATCCAGCAGAGGCACAGAAGTGTTCAGAGTCATCTAGTAAAACATGTCCTCACATGATCCTTAGCAGTCACACTTTCTATTACTACACAGTTTGGTGCGGCCTGCCTGCCTCCAGGAAGTCCAGGGTTTGTTTGTTTTGTTTGTTTGTTTGTTTGTTTTAGTTTTACCCCCCAAGTTTAGGCAAGAAGCCTCAGGGGTGCTGATTCATGTCCAAATGTTTGTCCTTCTTTTCTTAGCAGACTTTTTTCTTAGCAGACCCAAAACTCAGTGTGCCCCCTTGATGCTGGAGGATTCCAGAGAGCCATCCTGATGTTCTGACTCCAGATTGTACAGCTGATGCAGTGTGGGTGCACCGCCTTCTGAAGCCTGAGCAGTCTGAAGACGTGCCCGGAGCAGGCCATGCTCTTGTTGCCTGGGGACCTTCTGCACTGTCGCTACCATTGCTGAAACTGAACCCTAGGGTTGTCTGCAGACCCAGGCCAAGCCAAACCTCTGTGGCTCTAATTATGCAGATCCTAACCCAGGTTATGGTTGTTCCTTGTAGTACAGAGGAGAAATGCACAATACGTGGTCCAATGAAATCTTCACCAAATGTGACCTTATCAGCTTCAAACTCGTATGATTCACACTCACTTTCCTGGGGCCGTGCCTGCCTCTGGTTGGCTATGTTGGGGGCATATCAACTAATGAATCCAGGCCAGGATTCACTTTTTTTCCCCCAGTCAATTGCTTCACCTATCTTTCCCTGTGTTCACAGCAAATTATCTCCTAGGGATCTTGTTCTTTTCTGTTGCCTAATTTTAGTCCATCAAACAATTGTGACTCATTTGAATTTGAGAGGGAAAGAGACAAGTTCTCACTTCCGTTCCTCCCAAGAGTACCATCATGTGTTGAGGGCTTTGGCCAATTCATTCCCATTCCCAGCAGAATCTAAGTTTTCAACAGCAATGGATATGTTTGGGGGTGGGAGGGGGCTATCAAAGTGCCCTGCTGTGACTCAGAGATACAGAGAACAGACTGATGGTTGCCAGAGGGGAGGGGGACTGGTGGACTGAGTAAAAAAGGTGAAGGGATTAAGAAATACAAATTAGAAGTTACAAAATAGTCATGGGAATGTACAGCACAGCGTAGGGAATACAGTTAATAATGTTGTCATAACTGTGTATGGTACTGGATGGGTACTAGAAATATCAGGGAGAACACTTTGTAAAGTATATAATCATCTAACCACTATGCTGTACACCTGAAACCAACATAAAGTAATATTAAATGTAAACTGTGATTAAAAAATCAGATTAAAAAAGTCCTGTTGCATCACAACAGCACCTTCTCTCTCTCTCTTAATCAGAAGTTACCCTGAAATGTTGAACCCCCCCCCCCCCCCGCCCCCGGCACAGAGGTACAGAGGTGGGCTTTCTGTGAGGTTAATGAAGCTGAAGTGTATCTTGCCCTGGTCCTGCCCGAGGGAGGGCCCTCACAGTGTGTTCAGAAGCTCACGTATTTTTGTAGCATTTGCAAAAGCAGATATTTTTGTATTCTTTTTCTCAAAGAAGTGCCCTCCATCCCACTCCCCCACCCCCTTAGTTATAAAAACTTTAGGCTCCGCAAACCCCGGATCCAAAATTTTGTGAAAAAGTTTTTGTTGTTTTAACTTGTAAAGTAGCATAATAGAACCAAGCTGATGTGATTCGATCCCCGATTCCATCTCTTACTAGCTGGGTAGGGCTGGGTGTGTTACTTAACGTCTCCGAACCTGAGGGTCCTCAGCTAGAAAATGGGGATACTAGTGCATGTCTTCTAGGATTGTTGCAGGAATTAGAGAACCTACTTCAATAGAATGGGGTGTGGGGCCTAGTAGGTAATCAAAAGTGTTGTGTGCTACTGCTATAATTATTTCTTTGTTAACTGCGGAAAGGCCTTTCCTGGGGGAGTGGAAACTTACCTCCCACGTTTTCTACCTATCTGTTGGTTCTCAGTCCTTACCTAGACCTGATCAAAAAGATCCTCGAACATGAAAAGAAGAAGCTGGAAAATGGGGCTCTGCTCTGAACTCTTAACTGAGTAGTTCAACTGCCAAGCACTGATTTTTTCTTCTTTCCTATCAAGTTTGAGGTTTTCTGGATGATTGGATTGTTTTGACTTTCCCCATATTATATTACAAAAACAATTCCTATGTAAGCAAGAAGGAAAGAAAATGTCTTTCAAAATCATCCACTTTTGGTCTAAATCTCCAAGGGAAAAGCCTGATACTGAAAGTGTAATGTGAGGAGTCAACACCCTTTCAAACGCGATGGGAAGGGATGAGGTGGTGGTCTCCAGCCCTCGTGCCAGCACGTCAGGTGGGCGTGCCCAGGAAGGTAGTGGTTTCTGTTTTTCCAATTAAAGTTCAAATATACTTAGTTTTCCAAACTCATGGGAGTTTTAGTGGGAAAAATATAATTTAGTTACATTTTCAATTTAAAAGATATGATTTATATACATAGATGCTTTAGTGAAAAAGACTCGGGAATGAAAGACAATATCCCTAGCACCCTCAAGAAATTATTTGGAACACAGAGGAAACCCAAGCAGATTGGAACACTTTTTATAATTGCTTAATTGACTATTTTGCCTGAGGGTCACACACTAATTCACTGTAACCATAGCTTGTAGCTAAAATACTGCTTTAGTTAGGATGACAACATGACAAGAAATCCATCTAGGAGAGGATTGCAGCCCAAGGCACTTAGTTCTGCCTCAGAACTCAGGTCGAACTGGCTGGGGAAAACGTGCGTTTTCTAAATTCCTTCCCACTGAGTTGCAACATCTTTTTCTAATTTATCTTGAATAGCCATCTGCTGCCCTTTCCCCCCAGCCCCCTACCCTTTTAAGGACCGGGGCATTCATTCTCTTGAGTTTATGTTTATCTTCGTTCTTCTTCATTGCCCTCCCCTCTGTCCCACAAACGCACGCAGCAGAGTGACCCTGGGAAGTCAGGGAGGTTCTGCTCCCCACTCTCTCCTCACTGGGCACTTGCTGACCTGGGTAACTCTTTCCAGCTTCTCCAGGTTTCTTTTCTATCCACTTCCCCTCTACATTTCCACACACCTTTCCCCATACTCCACAAGCATGTCCAACAAGAGACAAAACACACAGAAAAATTACAAACAGTGATGTCCTAAACACCCCAAATAGGTCAAACATAGTCCCCAAGTAATCCATTGCTGTACCAACTTTCAAAATCTGTTGGGAAAAATATTTCATAATTGTGAGGCAAAGTTCTGACATGGAAAAATAGCAGAACATATGGAAAAGACATAGAAAAACTGTCTGGAAACCCAATTATAAACCAAATTGCTAACAGCGCTTATATGTAGGGGATGAGAGATATTTGAACAAAAATAAAAAAGGAAAAAAAATGACTCTTATAACCCCTCCATATAGGCTCTTCTTATTTTAAATTTTACCACTTATTTTAGGCAGACAAAGGAGTAACAGAAACAGCAAACGTAAGGAAGTTGCAAATATTGCGGAGTTGTTTCAGCAGAGGCCTCTGGGCCCACTTCGCTTGCACAGAGCTTCGGTGTGTTACCGCAGTAAGATGGCTATGCTGATGTGTGTTAAAGTCCAGGTCAGGTCCTTCATGGTGGCAGCCAGCTCATGAGAAGCTGGGAAGGACAGGTCTAGAGAGCTGTTGGGAGAAGAAAAATCTCTCTCTCTCTCTCTCTCTCTCTCTCTCTCTCTCTCTCTCTCTTTGTTACAACCACAAAGGCATCAACACAATGAAGAGAGCAATACTCTCGGGTGAATGTTGGGATGACTCCCTCCTTCTGTACACAGGGTGGGAGCTAAGAAGATGGGACGCAGGTCAAGTACCCATGAACTCGTGTCAGTTTTTGAAGGGCAGGTACATATCTCAGAGAATGTGTGGAACAATACAGAGCTTTAAAAGCAAAATGCTTGAACAAAGTCATTCGTTAAAGTGTATCTGATTTTTACTGAACTCAGTGAGGGAACCAGGAATTACCAAATAAGACACAAGATTTGGTTTCCTGAAATATGTACAAACACACACAGTTAGCAAACAAAAACATTGCTACTTGAGATACTAAACTGAGTAACATTCTACAGGGCAATAAAACCATAACATCTTTGGGACTGATTTCTCCAGAAGCTATCACACGGGAACACTTGGTCAAATCCTTCAGAGCAGCCTCTAACTTCACGGGGATGTAGCACCATTTGCCCTTTTATCCGGCGTGGATTGCTCGTGGAACACACTTGGAAAACAAAGTGACCAAGCCCCCTGGAATGAGATGAGGGTAAACCAGGACCGCGTGGTTTCACCCAGTCTGCCTTCCAGTATTAACTGGGGAAGTTCTCAACATTTACCTTCGTAGGGAGCTGGTATTTTCCTATACCGCCGTGGCTCGAATTGTGTCTGAAACAGGAATAACTAGGCTCCAGGAGGCATGACTACGGATGCAACCCGTGACTTTCAGTATTTGGAACGTGTGAAATCAGTTCTGGCTTCTCAGAACTTTCCTTTGCCCACCAGCTAATTCCCCACTGAATTCTATATAGGCAAACAAACAAACAAACAAACACAAACACACAAAAAACTGTTATTTCTTTACCTGCTTTCACAACCACCACTGCTTCTCTTAAATGCAGGTCAGAGAACTATTTGTGAAACCAGGACCAAGGGAAATCTTGTGAATGGCAAGGATTTATTTTTTCTCCTTATCTTTGTGTCCTGAGTCCTAACACAGGACCTGGCACACTCAGTAAGTGAAGTGAGCATAAGGAAACTTAACTAGCTATAAATACCCCTCACCCATGAACTTTACCTAGGCTGGAGTGTGATGAAATTGCATAAATGGAGTTTGGGAAATGCCTGTTTGCACTGCAGTGTGTTTTTCAGGAAACAAGGCAGTCAGGTATTCTGTTAACTAATCTCACCCTCCTGTCTCTGAGTACGAAAAAAATCTTTTATACATTTTTTCATTCTCCTGCATTTGTGAGGCTAAGCACCCCTAATATTTTCTCTTATAAATGCTTCAAAAGATAGCAACTTGAATGTGTTCCCAGATTTGGTTCATTTGTAATCTTTAAAGGATAACTTCTCTTCTTTGGGGGCACTATTAACCTCTCAGCAATCAGACACGAACACAGCACTTCATCTCTGCATGCTCACTTGGCGTTAACGGCTACTTGCTTCAGACCAGCAGGGGAAAGCTATTGTCAAGACTGAAATATCATACTACCACTTGACAGATTCTGTAGTATTCCTGCAAAGCAGATAAAAATTATGCAAGTGTATTCTTTACCTGGTAATCTGTGATAGAGTGTTAGGAAGAAACTTATTGTAACATAACAGCATTTAACTATTTTGTGTGTACGTTCGTGTGTGTGTGTATTTTTAGGTGGGGGTGGATGGGGGTGGACAAGGAGCCTAAATGTTTGATTTATTTATTTTTGTCTGGGAAAAATCTAGATTTTTAGAGAGAAGCTGGGCCCAGGTCACACGAACTCTGTGCTGAGGCATGACGACTCCATGGGGCAAACTCTCTCTCCTCCCGCCCGCTGCCTTACAAAGGGCCTGGCAGGGGGCCTGGACCCTCTGACTCAGATGTGGCTGTATGTAATGCTTAGGTCCAAGAATCTGACATTAGTCATGGTTTCTGTCATCTGGGATACAATTTGCTCTGATGAAAACTGCAGCTAAGGGGAAGACACGCGGTGGGGAATTAGCTTGTAAGAGCAGAACTCCTTAGAATCAAGTGATACCTGATTTTCATTGGCAAAGCAAATGAAAAAAATTGTATTTCCTTTTTTGAGAAAGCTCTGGGGGAATCACACTCCACAGTCCCAGTGTCCCTGGAGGACATTGGCTTCTCCGTCACGGCCAAAGGGGAGGATAACGTGAATACTTTCTCCAACCATTTGGGAAGCCAGCTTAACCTCAGAGGAATGGAGATTGTTTGAGACAGATTATTTCATTTCTTGCTCATGGTTCATATATTGTCTTCATTCTGTCTCTAAAGTGATTTTCCTAAATCCTTGTGGTTTCCCACCTTCTGCCCTTCTCTGGTTATATGTAAACAACTATCCATACAAGATTAGAGCAAGTAAATAAATTAGAATTAAAATCCAAATTTTTGTTTTTGCAGCCCTTTCCCAAACCCCTTTTTGCATCTGGAAGTTTATGTATGTTTCTTTCCACATATGCATTAGCATCTTTTTCTTAGCAGAAACATGGTAAAACATCCCAGAGATAAGTGAAAAACCCCAGACTTAAAAAAAAAGGAGTATATAG